GCCGGTTGACGTACGTTGTCGTTCCTGTTTTCACAAGATATGGCTTGCACGATAGAGTCAAATGTATATGCTTTTATATTCCACCACCTTTGTGCTATTTATTGTTCCACCTTTTCCCAATAATGTGAATATTTGGACATTAATTCCGTCATAAAATAAGCGTGTAAAATATTACCAAAGAGACAAAGGGAAGTATTTAACCAAATCGCTGGTGTCACAGTAATTTTATGAATATAGATGTGTATATGTTTAGATGTGTGTATGGGTGGGGTGTGTTTGTGTGTATAACATTTTGGGTAAACAAAGATGTAAATGTACATTAGAATGTTTCTCTAAGATTAAAAAAGACTTATGCTTTAACCACTTATGAAAAACAAAAATGAGAGATAAGTAAATCAAAAGCTGATAATGTTTGATGACCAATAAGACAAAATAACCCTCATCTAGGTTCACAGAATTTAAAAAATACAATATTAGGAATGAGAAAGGGCATAGGAAATATTAAAATAATTATAAGCGACTGCTGTAGGCCAATGAGGGCAAAATATTTAAAAACCTAAAAAGCATGGGTAAGATACAAGTAGCTGAAAAAGAAAATGAAGAGTGGGAGGGGATAAATTTAGGAGTTTGAGATTTACAAATGAAAATTTACAAATTTACAGTTGAAATTGTAAGTAGGAAGTGATGCCTGTTATCACTAATATTTATTCCTTGGATAAAATACCTGAAATTGATACTGATATTTCATTTCAAAGCCAGGACAACAGAGTGCTTATCAACATTTCTAGCTAACATCTCTATCTCCTTTTCTTCATACTGAGAGTCCTTGTTCTCTTGTACACTGGAGATGATAGAGTTATAATACATAATTGTTCACCTGCTTTATCCTATATTATACAGAAATTGTTTCCAGAATAATGCTATCACCAGAAGTGTGGGTTTTTTTTAAGACTTTAGATTTGCATGGGCTCTCCCTATTTGCTTCCCATTTTTTAAAATAAATCTTATATTTTGATTTTTAGATTTTCAGAAAGTTCAGAGTACAGAGAAATCCTATATACCTCTCAGCCATTTTTGACATCTTACATAACCATAATATATTTCTCAAAACTAAGAAACCAACATTAGAGTATTACTCTTGACTAAACTCCAGACTATTTAGATTTCACAAGTTTTTTTTCCAATAATGTCCTTTTTCTATTGCAGGAGCTAATCCAGGATACCATCTTATGTTTAGTTGTCATGTTTGTTCAGTCTCCTCTGGTCTGTCATAGTGTTAGTTTGAAACCCAGGAGCTTCCTTTAATTTGAAACTGGGTCTAATCTGAAACCTGCCCCAAACGTGGATGGCAGGGAGAGATCAAAAAAATAGTCAGATCACTTCAGATTCCTGGGTAGCAGGTTTAATAAGCAAGAAAACTTAACTTTTTGAGGCTTGTTTTGTGCAGTCACATGACGAGTAGATTTCTGCACCTGCCAGCCAGAATCATGAAAGGCTTACATTAGAGGCTTTTCATAGGGGCCTTAACTGAATTAAGTCACACCCACAGTCCAGACAAGTCTCATCAACACATTACGATCTCTAGTCTGTGCTTGCAGCAGCTTCTAGAAGCAGCAAAAGCAAATGGGAAGCCTATACCAAAGACAGGAGCGGGTGTGAGGAGCTGCCAACTATCAGGGCCCAGCTCACCATGAAACCAGCAGTCACATTTTCTTGATGACCACCTCCAGCAAATAGTTTCTCAGACTTTGTTTTTCATGACCTTGAGAGTTCTGAGGCGTACTGGTTAAGTATTTTGTAGAATGTTCCTCAATTTGGGTTTATCTTATGTTTTTCTCATCATCATACTGTACTATGAGCTTTTGGAAGGAAGACTGCAGGTCTTCATATTATCATATCAGGGGATACAATGCTGTCAACATAACTTGTAACTGAGGATGTTCACCTTATTCATTTGGCCAAAGTAGCTTTTGTAAGTGTCTACACTGTAAAGTTACTTTTCCCTCCATTTTTCCATACTCTTGTTCTTTAGAAGCAAGTCATTAAGTCCAGCCACACCCAAGGAGTAGGGAGAATTAAACTCTACCTCCTGCAGGGAAAGATATACATCATTTATTTGGAATTCTTTGGTGGGGAAAATTGGTCTCTTT